TTATACAATTTATAAATATTTCTATAAATAATTATTTCTATAAATAATTATATTTTTTACCAGAGAAAATTCATCAATAATTACTAAAATGTTCGAATTTAGAAAATTTATTTAAAACAATAGAAAATAAGTATGTTATTCCGCAATGCTGTCGAGGAAACGATAATTATTCACTTTTTCGAATTATTTAAAATGTGTTTGCCAAATCGAAGATCTCACAAAAAAATAATGCGTAATTGAAAGACTAATCAAAAACGTTTTTTTCCCTGATATAAATTTTATTAAATATTAAACCAAGTATATTGACGAGCAAGTCAAGTATATCAATGAATGACGTGCTTGTAGATTTTTTATTGTTATTTTTATCAATTTTATAAAACGCATTTTGGATAAATTATTAACTAATCTTTATAATTCTTATTGAACTTATACGTTGAATTATAAAAATAATATTTTACCTTTTTTAAGATCAAATTATTCTTTGTTTTTGTTAAAACATAACCCGTAATTATTCCAATAATGTATGGATTTATTCTAAACCATGGTAAGAAATAAAAGACATCTCTAAATTCTTTCGAACGTTCATTGAATCTATAACAATATAATAAAAAGACCTCTTCCTTAATTCATTCTTGTAAACAAAATATGTCAATAACTTACGTCTGAAATGGTACAATTTCATAAACATAAGAAGTATAACCGCTAAGAATAATTGAGACAATTAAAAGTGCACCCAATATCGTAACAGCGGTGTAGAAATATCTGAAATTCGTAATATGTATGTATTTGAGAATTTATTTGATGAACATATTAGACTTTTGTCAATAACTTGTTTACTTACGTAGTCGACAAAATCAACAATATCATAGTAATTATATACAATTGCATGTCATTAGCTATATACCAGCTCCAACTCATACACTGTATATATAATATAAATTTTAAAATAAAAAAGTTTTAATGTTCCTTAATATTATTTTTAAACTGATTTTAATTAAGCGTGTTTATACCATTGCATCAAGACCAAAAAAATTATTTATATATAGAAGATTTCTCCACCAATACTTAGCGCAAGTTTCATGCGATTTTTCGCTCACATAAAATTGGGACGTCTTATCAAACCAAACCGAGCTTAATTGAAATATACCTAACACCATCATGTAAGCCGGTGTCAGTCTTAAAAATAAAATAATAATAACAAGAATTTCATTACAATTACTATATTATCTTTTCTTGTTTCTCACATTAACATAACAAAGATCATAACATACCGAATAAATCTTTTTATTATATGAACAAATAATTCAATTAACTTTTCTCTACAATTCGACTCAATCTGTCCTTTGTTCATTTTACTCATCAAATATATATAAGTCACTAAACATCCGCTTAAAAGAAAATAAAAGTCGATTGATACAATTCTAATACCAACTATATAATTGTTAATATGGTAAAACTGTCTCCTCCACACCCATATTTTATTATCTGTATACACAAAATAATTTTCATTATGCATAAAAAACTTAGAAATCCATTCAAATGTGTTTATAATTATTTACCAATAAAATCCATTGCATAAATAACTGTATGGGACATGATTATGCAACACATGCCTAGAAATCTTACGCCATGAAGGGTGGATATTGTACCAGTATCTAATTTTGTGCGAAATATTTCTTTCGTATTTGTATAAACAGAGAAACATATTAAGATTTCTCCAATTATATTTTTTTGATATGAAAACACATTTATTTCCGTATTTATATCCTTGGATACGTGCTTTACATCTAAATCACAATTCTGAATCTTTAGTAATACATTAATATAGAAATCAAGATGCTTTTTAATTAAGTAAATATTAAATTAAACTATTTATACAAATAAAATTACATATAAATAAAATTATACACGTAAATAGAATTATAATTATACAAAAATTTTATATTATTGGTTATTACTAAAACAATTAAAATTGTTGATTTAAAATCTATTTAATAATTTGAATAAGAAAAATGTGCATCTGATTTGTTGAAGACGAAGCGTATTAACTCGGAGTAGTCTACTGAAATAAAAAGTATTTTTAGAGATTTTGAGTATAATGCTTACTGCCATTATTTGTTGCATTTTTCTTCATATGTTTTTGATGAATGAATAAATCATATAATGTTCCAATTGTTGTCATAAAAAAAGTAAACACCAAGATTATACTACAAACAAAATATTTCTGTATTAAGTCTTTATCACTCTCTTATTAATTTGCAATATATAGACATTTTACTTATATTGGATTCATTAAGTCATTGAACTTTTGAAAATTAGAGAATTATTAGAATGTCAAATTTTCATTTCAATTCATTTTATGAATTATCAGTTCACTTTATCAGAGTGAGGAGCAGTCTGATACTCAAAAGAAATTCGTAAGTATCGTAAGAATTGTATTTTCGTATTTGTAAAATTTATTTCTAGCTGATTTTATAGATCATGTTTTTGTCAATATTAAGAAAACGCAATGATTAGTTTCCGAAAAATAAAAGTGTGTCTTTTTAAACTATGTTAATATCGGCGATTTTCATTTATTAATTCGGACTTATTTTAATAAAAATTATTTGAATTAATGCGTCTCTTTTTTACGATCTTATTATTGTGAAATAATTGCTATTTATATTTTTTTCGTGACATACCCGACTAAAAATAAGGCTTTGCTGGATAGCCATTCATTATTATCTTTTAGATCTTTAACTTGGATTAATTGGAAATCCACGGAATAAAGATCATCAATTAAAGTAATTTTATCATGAAATACTCTTTTCAAAATAAGAATTAGTTCACTTATAGTGCACGATGCTGGTAAACAAAGTCCGAGCGAAATCACATTCTAAAATAAATTTTCTATTTAAAACATGTTCCTTATAACATGAAGATCTCATAAGCTTACCTCATTAAATACATTTACATAATATTTAAGAGTACTATTATGTCTCAGATGAGCAACGAAGTAATTTACTTCAAAAGGCGGAAACTCCTTATGCGGATCACAATACAGCGTAATATTTGATATTTTCTGTTCTGCGATCTGTAAAGGAGTCGTATTCATCGTATCGAGACACTGGCTACGACTACCGAGCCAATAAGTATTACCGTAAAGAAAACCTGATTTAAATCCGCCGCTGGAATCTAACACTAAAAGATGAAAATTAACTTGTTATTATTTACATACCTATTAATATTGTCTTAATATATCTAATATTGTCTTAATATTGTCTTAATATATTTTATAAATCAAGAACATATAATATACATTATATGTTCTTGATTTATAAAATCATATTCTATAAAAATGAATATCATAGATAGATGATAATGATGCAAAAAAAGTTATGTAATCTTGAGAAACAATATTTATGTTACATTTTACGAAGAAGTTCTTAAAAACTTAGCAAAAAACAGTAAAATATTATAATACGAATTTTATTATACAAAATTATTATTTATTACATGAAATTGTAATACCACTAATTTATAATCTTTTTACATCTTTTTACTTTTTTTTACAGATCATATATGTGTATACCTTTTTTTACAGAGAAGTTGCACTAATATTATCTACATTAATTCAAATTAAATTTCACTTAAATTAGTTTAAATTTTTACAGTTAAACTATTAAATATAGATTGAATGCTAATGGAGTTGCTCTTGATTAATTTTCCTGTTCTTAGGCAGATATGTTATCCATATTTATGATTATTATCCTAAATTGTGCATACCTTTCAAACTCCATGGTATTCGTTGATCAATAGCATTTCGAAAATTCTGTAATTCTTTTCCACATTTTGTCGAGCTGAGATCAGTTTTCGAAGCGATGATATAAGCTGGCAGTGTCTGAGTAATTTCACGAGTATATGCAGAGACACAAAACAACGCAATTAGGTTTGTTAAGATACATAAAATAAACACAAATTGCCGTTGCTTCATAATGCTTTAATCTGTAAGAATCACTTTTATTTCTTCATTTTTTGACAAATATCTATGTACAACAATCATGAAATCACTTTTAAAATGTAGAAGAGCAAGACAGTTTCATAACAAAATTTTTTATTGCACAAGTGTATAACTTTTTCGTAAGTGTGTAACTATTAACCCTCAACCTGCACAACTGTCAAAATATATGATGACAGCCGCAGAGAAGAGATGAAATCACAATAAACTTCGATGTATTCGAGTATCGATTTAATATGTCCTTTTTAGTAAATCATATTATTTCCTTTTATCTCTACAAATAAATATTTTTTATTAATAAAATTAAATATATTAACTCATATAACAAATACGTAAATAAAGTGTCTTAAGATTGTAACGTAAATATACACTAAAGTTGATACTTATAGTCTGTTCTTATTTTTAGACCGTCTTAAATAATGTCTTAAGTCGCTAATGCAACTCTCTGATTGATTCCCTTCTAAGACTGTACTTAAGACAATCTTGAAAAGATCTGACTATGAATACCGGTGACAAAAATTTTAAGGATTTAATTTTAATGATATTTTGGTGTAAATTTATATAAATCCAGTTTTGTAATTTGAACGCCGAAATAATTTTTAGTCTTGAAACGTAATCATACACAGAAGTAGGGTAATAATATCACAAATTAAATTGATAAACAATTTAATAATGTTGCTAATATGCATTTTAGAAAGCTATAAATAACTTAATGCTAATAAATATCTTTGAAAACTATAAATAATTTATTGCAAAAAAATATTATCTTAACTAGGATTTGAATTTGGGCTTCGCTACATTTCGTGACGTGTGCTTAGATAAAAAATATATAAATGTATAAAAATATTCTCACAATAAGTAAAAAGAAAAAATGTATTATTATTTATGTTAATTACTCTAGCGAAAAATTATGTACATATTACACTTGCGTATACGATATCCACTTTTTAAGTCATCACTATTTCAAAGTCCTTGTACGACTAAGCTCGTGCTCTGCACCACAAGTAGAGCAAACCAATGATTTTTTTCTGACTTGTTACTATATAGACAATATTTATAATTATAATTAATGTATTGATGTTTACTACTACATATGTATATATACTACTTATATAAAATAACTAGGTTTTATATTAATTAACAAGAAAAAATTAATCAAAAATATAGATCGAGTATATACGTTTATATCGAATATACATTGTATATCTTCTTATTTTAAATAGAAATAATAGTCCTCTTTTAAATTTTTTGTTTACTTTAATATTTTTCTTAGAACCTATCTCATATATATCCTATATACTTATATCTTATATTATCATACACTTAACCATATTTGCAACAATTCACGGGCAGATAACACCCGCGAATGAGGAACGTCGATCGTATAATGATAATATACGTACGTCTCAAAATTCGCTTCTAAATAATACAGCAAAAAAGTTCTCAAAAAAATAAGTTTATTTTAAGTAATAACTTTCAAGATAATAAAGAGTTTATAACCAATTATAGATTACGTTTAGATGATTGTTAATACTATTGCACGCACGACGGGTAGTCATCTAGACATAGTATGTAATTAGCTTTATTTATGCTCTTATATTTAAAAAACACTGTTTAAAATAAATTTACACATAATTTTTCTATTTAATTTTTCAAGACTATAATATTTCTATAACATTTTGAGTAGAATTTTGGGATACCTAATATAATATATGTGTGAATATAAATATATATATGTATATATGTAAAAAATACCTACCTATATATGTATATATGTATATTAAATAATAATAATAATGTTGATAGAATAATTTGAGAGAATGAATAAATAATAAAGAATTTATCAATAAATATTTTGGTTTAATTAAAGGCTAAAGAGAAAATTAAAGAATAAATATATAAGATATTAAAAAATTATAATCATTATGATAAAATAATCCATACATATGTCACTTGATTGCAACTATTCAATTTTGTTAATATGTATATAGGTATGTATCTCTTATTGATATCGTCAATTAATAAATAGCGATATAATTCCGATAAATTATAGTTAATTTTTAATCGCGTTACAATTATTTGTTAACACCATTGACTAAACAACTTTAAAGCAAATATTATATACGGTATCATTACTGCGTTGCACATTCTTTTATTTAATATCTGTAAGCGTATGTAGTGTATTATCAATGCGTGACTCATGGGTAGGTGATCGATTAACCGTAATCTATAATTTGCCAATTTTAAAGCTATATGTATGTTTAAAATTATTTTTCAGAACGACAAACGATAAATGTTTTTATAACTTATTTTTTCGAAAATTTTTTTGTTATTATATTTTGACTTGCGAATTGTGAGGATCGAACTCTCTATATATTCTATATATATATATATATATAT